CTCCTCTCCTTGAGCTCATTAACCTTAAACTCCTTAAACTTAACACTTTAAGCTCCTTAAATTGTTACACTAGTACAGCATTTATCAAGTAGGCATGCAGTACACTGTTAGGAACTACATTCAGTTTAAGGACAAATAACAAATCTACTAAAAGATATGGAACCCCAGTTATGAGCATTCGAAAGGTCTTTATCATGTAAAGCATCAGTACTCACATTTTACAGAGAGGTTAAGTGACTCATGTGAAATCTCAAAAACACCCAGGGACTAGATTCTCCTTTAAATATCTATACTCCAGGGCACTTGGGTGGCTCAGTTGGTTGAGTTGAGGGTCCAATTTTGGCTCAGGTCATAATCTCACAGTTCGCGGGTTCAAGCCCCACATCAGGCTTTCTACTCTCAGCACAGGGCCCACTTCAGATCATCTGTCCCCGTCTCTCCCTGTCCCTCCCCCACTTGCACACACACACACACACACACACACTCTCTCTCTCTCTCTCTCTCTCAAAAATAAATAAATATTTTAAAAAATAAATAAAAATAAATGTCTGTATTTCAGCATCCCTAAAAGAAAACCAGCTTGAAATTCCTTCTCACCCTTCTTTCTCCTCCATGGTCAGGTCTCCTCCATGAGAAGTACTAGCCATACCAAACCCATCCCATACTTACTAAAGCATGATGCTTGCTATACAGTGAGGCACTACTAAAATGAGTAAGAAATTGCCATTGCCATAAAGAATTTCAGTATAGAATAAAAGACAACTGCAAATACAAAAGTAGATTGAATATCAGAAAGCACAAAGTGCAAAGTTCAGAAAAGGAATATGTTTACATCAGCTGCAGTGATTAAGAAAGGCTTAAGGGAAGGGTAGTATTTGAGATAAGCCTTGAAATAATAAATGGGAGGGGCGCCTGGTTGGCGCAGTCGGTTGAGCGTCCGACTTCAGCCAGGTCACAATCTCGCGGTCCGTGAGTTCGAGCCCCGCGTCAGGCTCTGGGCTGATGGCTCAGAGCCTGGAGCCTGTTTCCGATTCTGTATCTCCCTCTCTCTCTGCCCCTCCCCCGTTCATGCTCTGTCTCTCTCTGTCCCAAAAATAAATAAATGTCGAAAAAAAAAAATTAAAAAAAAAAAAAAGAAATAATAAATGGGATTTTGACAGTAAAGAATGAGGAAAGGACATCTCAGTCTGATTAAAGCATAGAGTTCAGGTGTTTGGAAACTTTTCTGCTCGAGATACAGTTTATAAACATTTCCCAAGGGCATAAGTAAACTAGGCTGCCTGCCATATACGATTCCAAATGACCCCCTCCCTCTCTCACTTCCAGGAACATATATCAGCATGCAAATGAGTGAGAATGATCTTATAATAGATAATCTTCCATCTGCTTTACTTTTTAAAGGAAATCACTTGCTAAATTTAATATAGTTTTTAGTAAAAAATGCTTGCTACACCCCATGATGGATGGCAATTACAGGTTAAGAACCACCAGTGTGATGGGAAGTAAAGGTGAAAAATATTGGTCAGAACTATCCCTGGGTGATCTGGAGTACAAACCACAGCATGTAAATAGTGAAGAGATATGATTCAAGCGGCATTTGGGAAGATTATTCTAGAAGGGTGGAGAAAGGGATAGCACAGTTAGGAAGTTATTGCAAAAGCCCCAGTTACTTAGGGGTAATAGAGGCCTAAATGAAGATATTACTGGAAAAAGATGATTGAGTTGAGAAATGTGACAAATATAGAAGATAAGCCTTGTGAGGTCAGAGGTCTAACTTGTTACCTCTGTGTCTCTAGTGGTCTTTAGTTCAGCAACTATTTGTTGAATGGATAAGATCTTGGTGGCAAGACAGTAATGCTACAGCAGTGCAGCCAGAATGCCTGGGTTCAAATTAAGCTCTTCCATTTACTAGTTATATGACCTTGGGTAAGTTACTTGACCTCTCTATGCCTCAGTCTTCCCATCTATTAAATGGGGCTAATGATGGAGTCTAGATCATAGGGTAGGGTTTTTTTCTAATGTTTATTTATTTTTCTGAAAGAGAGACAGAGCGTGAGCAGGGAAGGAGCAGAGAGAGAAGGAGACACAGAATCTAAAGTAGGCTCCAGGCTCTGAGCTGTCAGCATAGAGCCTGATGCGGGGCTCAAACTCATGAACCAAGAGATCATGACCTGAGCCGAAGTCAGATGCTTAATTGACTGAGCCACCCAGGTGCCCCAATCATAGGGTAGTTTTGAGGATTAAATAAGGCGGAGTGCTTAGAAGAATACATGACACATATATCTGCCACGTAACAGTAACTATTCTTATTAGTAAAACATTGTGCCTTTAACAGAACTTCAGAAGTGAGAAAAACAGTTTAGGGGTAAGGGTACAAAGAGTGTTTAGTTTGGCATTTAGTGGAGCTACCAGATAGGCCTTGGGGAAAAGGCTTACACTGAGGAATCTGACTCTTGCCACTTCTCTGCGCTCCCCATAGTCCTCCCATCTCCCACCAAGATCCAGTCACACTAGCCCCTTTCAGTTCCTCCAACAGGTCAGGTTTTTCCTACCTCAGGACCTTCCCACTGTCATTCCCTCAGCCTAGAAGGATAGAGAGCCTTGACAAATATGTAATGATTCAATAGCATTTGGCATTCTTTTAAAAGTTAACTCCAGGGCACCTGGGTGGCTCAGTTGGTTAAGCGTCTGACTTTGGTTCAAGTCATGAACTCACAGTTTGTGGGTTCGAGCCCCGCATCAGGCTCTGTGCTGACAGCTCACAGCCTGGAGCCTGTTTCAGATTCTGTGTCTCCCTCTCTCTCTGCCCCTCCCCTGTTCATGCTCTGTCTCTGTCTCCAAAATAAACATTAGAAAAAAAGTTTTTTTAAGTTAAATCCAGGGGCACCTGGGTAGCTTAGTCAGTTAAGTGTCTGACCAGCTCAGGTCATGATCTCACTGTTTGTGGGTTCTAGCCCCGTGTTGGGCTCTGTGCAGACAGCTAGGAGCCTGTAGCCTGCTTTGGATTCTGTCTCCCTCTCTCTCTGCCCCTCCCCTGCTCATGCATGCTCTCTCTCAAAAACAAACTTTTTTTTTTAATTTAAAAAATAAAAAAATCAAAGTTAAATCCCTACAAATGTATAACGTAAGAAAGCAAGGTGGAATAAGATAAAAGGAATGAGCACAGAAAAGAGGAACAGCAATTGCAAAGGACTATCCAGGGAGGTAACCAGGATAATTGGAATGAAGTTTTTAAGGAGATGGGTAATGTTCTAAATGCTCAGAGGAGGAAAGGAAGATGGGGATCACTGGATTTGGCAATAATTCTGAGGAAGAACTCTGAGAAAGTAATTGTCCACGATGTTGAGAGGGGAAGGCAGCAGAGGTCAGATAGTTAAATAAATCAACTAATATAAACTGATTTACCAAAAATGTTTGATAAGAGAGAGAAGCAGAGTGCAGGGAAGATGACTGTAGCAACAGACCCTGTTTTTAGGGTTTGGGTGGGATTTTTTGGTAGAAGGATAATAACAATGGAGAGGCAAACAAACTAAGACACAAACGGAATAAAAACATGAGGCTAGATCTTGGAGACATTGTGCATCTCTGCAGTTTTAATGCCCACAGTGCTTTTCACACGTGTTACCTTGTCCCTCAACTCTCTGATGATACATCCTCTAATTCAGTGGTTCTCAAAAGTGTAGTCCCTAGACCAGCATCATCAGCATCAGAGGGAACTTGTTAGAAAAGCACATTTTTGAGTCCTACAACAGATCTACATAATTGTGCGGGTTAGACCCAGCAATCTGTGTTTTAAAAAGTCCTCCAAGGGATTCTGAGGCTCTCCAGGTCCCCGCAAGGACCACACTCAGGAGAAAACGACAAAAGACCGCTGCAAGGAGTAGCGGCCACAGTTGGAGGGCAGAATTTTCTTCTGAACCTTCCATCTGGATCTCCCAACCTCCTAAGAGAGGCAGTGCACGACCCCAGCCAGCCAGCAGCACCGCAAAGCAAAGTCGCCCCGCTTCGGACTAGCCTGAGCGAGTTCTACTAACCCCAACGGGAGCGGAGGTCAGCTAAGGACCCTTAGCCAAGCTCAGCCACCGCCCTAGAAAGAGCCCGAGTGCACCAAGTACTCAGGCTTCGACTTCCGGCGGGGGGGGGGGGGGGGGGTCTACTGGGAGGGACTCCGGGCGGCCGTATCCAAATTCTTCAGGATTGGCGGGGATGGGGGGCGGGGTATTTGTTCTTCTAACCCCTCCGTGTGCTACGAGGCCGCAAGGGGCAGAGAAGGAAGAAAGGCTAGGACAGGATACGTTTCTGCAAAACCTTGAACCCAATAAAGGAACAAAGAAGACTTGAAAACCCTTCTCTCTGTCCTTTCCTACTTTCCCACCCCGAATCCCGAGGAATGGAAAAGGCGGAGGCTAAAGGCCTCGTCTACGGGGGACGCGGGGAGGACGCTTGAGGAAGAAATCTCGCGATAGGAGGCCGGCCGGGGCGGGGGTGACACCTCTTCCCTCCTCCTCGCGTTAGTTCCGGTCGCAGAGGAGACACCGCCGCAGTTGCTGCCACATCGGGGATTTCTGGCTCTTTTCTCTTCGCCTTAAAGTCGGTGAGGCGCGACGCTCGCTTGTCTCGGGACAAGGTTGTGGCCCTCAGTCGCCGGGCAGGGGGGTGGGGACCGGCAGGTCTGGTGTGGCCCGGCTTGAATGGGTCTGAGCCGCCGCCTGAGGCCAGGCCGGATCCGGGGCCTGGATTCGAGGGCCACTGCCGCCACCTCAGCAGGGAGGTCGAGGGTCTGCGGCCCGGACCGGGACGTGGGGCCCGGGGGTGCGCTGCGGCCCCAGAGACCGAGGGACCCCCCTCCCCCCAGCGGCCTTGCCTGGCCTGGGTAACAAAGCCGCTGCGGCCTCTGTTGGGTGATGTACGCGTGGGGGGTTCTGGCGGGAGGGGCGGGGGAGCAGCCACCACCTCTGCGGCCGCCTCCACCACCTCTGCTTTCGCTGGAGGGCGGGCGGATGTACGGGGCGGCGGGGCCCCCGGCGCGAAGCGCCTCGGCGCCTGTGGTCCGCTCGTTGCGGCGGCCGCCACCACCGGCGACGGGGTCAGTGGAGAAGGGGCTGCGGGCCGAGAGCTCGCCCCTGCGGCGCCCCGCAGGGGCCGAGGGGGTTCTGGGTGGGGGGTGGGTTATCTCGTTCGAGCGGCAGACGCAGGAAGGGTGTGGATAGGGAGACACGTGCTCGGGGAGGAGACTTGGATTGCAGGGTACGGGGCAAAGGAGGCTAGGCCGGCTCTCAGTTCATTTTGCAGGCTGGAGTGGTGCAAGCGGCCGCTGCAGTCACGGGCACAACTTCATAGGGTGGTGCTGCTCATAGGCCCACGGTAGAAAGGATTCACCCTTTGACGGTGTCTGAAAATCGACGTACACGTTTTGGATACCTCGCGGCAATGGTGGCAATCTCGCTTAGACTTCTGTGGTGCTTAGAAGTAGTGGAATATGCAGGCGAATTCAAAGAGGAACGAGGAGGAAACCAAACAATTATGTTTATGATGGGTGATTTGCCCCTAGTCACTATGGTGCTGCTATAAGGTCTTTTAAAAGGGTACTACACCGTACATCTTCAGAGTTTCTTGTAGGGAGAAATGCAGGATTTGAAGTTACATTAATTCTTGGTGTCTGCCCCAGGTACTGCCAGGCTGAAAGTGTTATATTTGATTTATATTGTGACTACACCAAGGTTTGATGCTTTGTTTTTAGAACAAAATGTTATGGCACTGATATTTTTAAGGCTTTATTTTCCTTTTCTTAGGGTGTCTTTTATGAATAATCAAAAGCAGCAAAAGCCAACGCTATCAGGCCAGCGTTTTAAAACCAGAAAAAGAGGTAAATATGTTTTAAAGTCTCTCTCCAAACTTCCAGAACAAGTTTGATATCTTGGTTTTTCTGCCAGGCAGTTGCTTAATAGTAAATCTTTTGAGAGAAAATATGAGAAAGGAACTTGAATTTCTAGTTGACTGCCATTTCAGATATACCCTTAGTATTTTTACTGCTTTTCTAAGCCTTTAGTTTTTAGTATCAACATATATATCTCTATAGTGAATGGTCTTTTTATTTTGAGGATAAAGTACCTTTTTTTTTTTTTTAAGTATGGAGTGCATTTTCACTAGCTAAATTTTATTTAAGCAGACTTGCTTGAGGGGAAAAGTTAATTTATGAAAGGGAGCTCCTAATGCAATTGCTGGTTTTTCCCAAACTTTGTGAAGATTTCTGAGAGAAAAACCAGACTTTACACATGGAAGCTAATTATGGAACAGAGTTCACACTGTAATGTCTTTTGAAATTAAATATTTCTCACAGACAAGTACTAGAATTCTGTTAGCTTCTTCTCTCTATTAGTGGGTAGTTAGGTGAATATTCTGTAGCAAAGCACTTATTGGTGACACAAAGTTAAGTGGGGTGTGATCTCAGATATATTTTGTATTGGGCTTAATACTTTCACCAGGATTTTTCAGTGTTACTGTTCAAAAGCCACATTGACCTTATTTTACAGGAGATTTTGAGGAAATAGAACTGGGTCAGCTACGGGTTATAGATTGTTTTTTTCTACCCTGGGTAACAGACACTTTGAGATATATATTACATAATCTTTTGTAATCCCTGATCATAGACAGTCCTCTTGTAGTGGGGAGACTAAACAGTGATTTGATTCTAGTCTTTTCAGATTTCTCTAGATTTAACCTAAATAAATTTTCTCAAGAGGAGGAAGAGGAGTTGGAAACTGAGCAATTCAGCAGTAATAGGGAAAAGTCTGTATCCCCTTGAGGATGTGGTGATACCAAGTCATTTTATTGTTACTAGCATCAGGAAGAGGTGTCATTTCCCCAGTTCCACATTGAGATAACTCATGCCCTCCTAGTTCCTCATGGTGGGGTCCTGGGTAGCATGAACAATCATCCCAGTTTGCCTGGGACTGAAGACAGTTCTCAGGACCTAGGCTTTTCAGTGCTAACACAAAGTCTTGGGCAGACAGGGAGGAGTTGGTCACTCTAGGGCTGTGTGAAAATTAAGGTAGCATCTAACCTAGATAGGGAAGTCAACAAAGCTGGGTATGTCCCTAAAGCACTGTTAAGTACCAAATGAATGATTTAAAACAAACATACAAACATAAAGTGTTATGGGCATTTAAAGAAAAGAATCAAGAGCTCCAGCATTTAGACAGAATTTCACTCAAGAATAAAATTTACCTGAGGTTTAGAGGATGTCCTAAATTTCAGAAGAGCCCAGAGGCAATAGGAGAGCATTTGGAGTAGAAATTGCCTCCTGGCAGTAGGAACACACTAGCTCATTTAACTCATTTATGAGACTTGTGTGAAAAAAATAGTAGGAGAAAAGCCACACAATTCTTGTGACTAGGCAGTCATGCCTTGCATTTGCAGAGGATATGTGTAGTCTTTTATTGTGTCTGCTTGCTTTGCAGGTCTTGGGTAAGCTTTGTGTTTTGTTTTTTTCAGGTGTTGAAATAAATGAGATTGTGATACATGTGGTTAACTTATTCAGTAGTTACACTTTCATAAGGTGGTGGTTTCATGGCATTTTGGTAAGCCTTTTAAAACTAAATGTTGTGGGGTTTTCCCCCCAGATGAAAAAGAGAGGTTTGACCCTACTCAGTTTCAAGACTGTATTATTCAAGGCTTAACTGAAACTGGTACTGATTTGGAAGCAGTAGCAAAGTTTCTTGATGCTTCTGGAGCAAAACTTGATTACCGCCGATATGCAGAAACACTCTTTGACATTCTGGTGGCTGGCGGAATGCTGGGTAAGTGTCTGGGTTTTGTGGGAAATGTGATGTATAGAGATTATGTGGAATCCAGAACATGGACTATTTGACAAACCTGTCAAATTGGGGTGGCTTTGTTTTTGGCTTTTTTACTTTCTTAGGATTTTTCCATTCCCCCCCGCCCCCAGGTCATAGTAGTTTAGCAAATTATCTTGCTCTGTCTAGCTTTATAGTTGAAATCTGTTAGAAAATCATAACATTTGGAGATGACTTTTCTGATATGTACATCCCTACTACATCCCCAATCAGTAATTTTTCCAAACTGTGTTTGAACACTCTCCATTAATGGAGAAATCTTAGCCTCTTATGTAGTCTTATGAAATACTACTTCTGTATGCCTGAGGACTAATCCTACATTCTTCAGTACATTAGCCACAATCACTTAGAGTGTGGCTAATCTAAATTGAGATGTCCTATAAGTGTCAAATATACATTGAATTTTAAAGACTTGATATAAAAAAGAATGTAAGACATGTCAATAATATTTTGAATACTGAAATGTTAGAATCAATATTTTTGATATGTTGGATTAGAGTATATTAAAATTGCACCTTTTTTGGGGGGGGGTGGGGAGAGAAAGAGCCTGAGCCAGGGAGAGGGGCAGAGAAACTCATTTTTTTATAAGGAATAACTAAGACAGTTTACAGGTTTTCTTAATGTTTATTTATCTTTTGGGGGGCGGGGCACAGAGTGAGAGAATCCCAAGCAGGCTCTGCACAGAACCCAGTGTGGGGCTCAAACTCATGAAGTGTGAGATCATGACCTGAGCCAAAATCAAGAGTTGGACGCTTAACTGACTGAGCCACCCTAGGCACCCTCTGAGGAACTCTTAAGTAGGCTCCACGCCCAGCAGAGAGCCCTGACACACGTGGGGTTCTTAAAACTGCAAGATCATGACCTGAGCCGGAATCAAAAGTTGGGCACTTAACAGCCACCCAGGTGTCCCTGTTTTTAATATTTTTAATGAAGTTACTAGAAGATATAAAATTACATCATGTGGCTCACATTATGTTTCTGTTGCACAGCACTGCTCTAACTTCCACCTCCACCCTCACCAGCTCAGGATGTCTTAAAAGAATGTGTCATTTAGTTAAATATCTTCAAATGATGATGATAATTTCATTTCCATAGCTCTTTAAGACATTTCAAAATGTTTTCACAGTGATATGATATTGATCCTCAGGGCCAAGCTGCTAGAATCAGAACTCTTATTTGTAAGCCTGTGGAATGGAGGCTTAAAAGGCTTCAGTAACTTACATGCAGTCAAATAATTACTCAGTGGTGGAACCAAGAACTTAACGTTCATATGTTCTAATATATTCCATTATATTAGCAGTTTGTAGTAAGAAATATCTATTTTCTACTTACAATACTAACCCTAAATCTGCTTTTAAAATCCTTTCTTAAACCTTTACTAAGGAAATTTTCAAATATATCCTAAAGAGAATAGTAAAATGAACTTCTTGGCTGTTACCCTACTTAATTGTTAACAGTCTTAGTCTGGCTGTGTTCCCCCTGACTTCATCCCCCTCCCCCATATTTCAAAGTGTATATCAGACTCACTTTATCCATAAATACTTACAAATGTATATGAAAGATAAAGACTAACTTGTAAGTTTTTATGGCCCAGCCTCTTAGGAAACTTGAAGGGTTGTTTTCTGTATGGAAAGTTACATTATCAAAAGCAACTTAAAACATCACTTGAGTGACAGATTTGGTACTGTTGAATGGTTAATGCAGTGAGTTTAACTGGGTTGCTGAAAGGGGTTATTCTCTCAAGTTGTTTCACTTTATTCACCAACCAACCATGTTGCTTTTGAGATAGTGACTTTGCTCTCAGATCATCTTTTAGAATTTGTATCATTTTATTTTATAATGAGAATCCTTCCAGAAAGTAAGATTGAAATAATTACTAATTTTAAATGAAGGTCACTGCAAATTTTTTGTAAAATATACCTTAGCCCCAGGTGGTACACTGGCAGATGACATGATGCGTACAGATGTCTGTGTGTTCGCAGCACAAGAAGACCTAGAAACCATGCAAGCATTTGCTCAGGTAAATGAAACTATATATTTATTTCAGTTAGCTATTATCCATCTGAATAGGAGTAGTCTGCTTTTAAGAGGTTACAAATAGAAAGTTGAAAGAATCTGAACTGAAGATTTACTTTTTGGTGTAATATTAATGAACTAGAAATTTCAAATGTGTTGAGGAAAACAAAGTAGAAAAGATTGAATTATTTTCCTGTTTGTCCCTTTGGAATTAATCCATTTTTAAGGAAAACCCTCAAACTGAAAAGGAAAATCATTTCCTTGTCATTTCATTCAATTATTTCTGCCTGTAACTTTTTATTTTATTTTATTTTTAATTTTTTTTAATGTTTATTTATTTTTGAGACAGAGCATGAGCAGGGGAGGGGCAGAGAGAGAGGGAGACACAGAATCTGAACCAGGCTCCAGGCTCTGAGCTGTCAGCACAGAGCCCGACGCAGGGCTCGAACCCACGAACTGTGAGATCATGACCTGAGCCAAAGTCGGACGCTTAACCGACTGAGCCACCCAGGCGCCCCTGCCTGTAACTTTTTAAAGATGAATAAGGGGCGCCTGGGTGGTGCAGTCGGTTAAGCGTCCGACTTCAGCCAGGTCACGATCTCGCGGTCCGTGAGTTCGAGCCCCGCGTCGGGCTCTGGGCTGATGGCTCAGAGCCTGGAGCCTGTTTCCGATTCTGTGTCTCCCTCTCTCTCTGCCCCTCCCCCGTTCATGCTCTGTCTCTCTCTGTCCCAAAAATAAATAAACATTGAAAAAAAAATTTTTTTTTAAAAGATGAATGAGTTAATAGGCAGATTAGCTTACCAATCAAAATTTCATTCAAAGGTTTCATACATAGTTTGTGTTATTGTAAGCAAAGAATTCAAGTGCTCCTAACCTAGAAATTTGTTACCTATCTTTGGGAAAGTAGAACTATATTCTCTGATCTTATTCTGTTAATAATCCTACAGATGGGTAAATGACTTGTATTTAAGCAATAAATAGTCCTTGCTTTAATATCTGGCAATAAAAATCTATCGTGGGTGGCTATTAAAGTGTTATATTGTAAGTTTTGAGAGTTGACAGATTCTTCCCAAGTGGGCTTTTTAAATAGCTTGTAAATTCTTACATCCAGTGGAAGTTTCCCTTCTTTGATGCTCTAAAGATACTATGAGATACTTAGATCTTTTAGGAATCTGGCATGTGTAGATATCAAGTTATTAAATTCCATTACTGTTCTTCATAGGTTTTTAACAAGTTAATCAGGCGCTACAAATACCTGGAGAAAGGTTTTGAAGATGAGGTAAAAAAGGTATGAACAACAGTATGCTTTGTGGATACAGAAGGTTGGGGTCAAAGAGGGGAACATTAAATCTTAATTTTGCCACAGATTTGAGAGGATTTTAGGTATTTAGGTAGACTGTCATTGAAATGTGATTTGGAGGTGTATCATTTAGTTTAATTTGCTACACAGTGTTTCCTAGCTTTGTGTCCAAACAAGTGGCAAAAAACTAAAGACCAAAATGAGGTTTGTTCAAAAGATACAGTAAGATCAGAGCTAAGCAGATTGAGAAAGAAATTTAGCATATTTGCTATTGAAGTCTTAGATAGTCTATATATAGGTAGATGAAAAAATGTAGTAATGTTAATAGTAACATCAGGTTTCAACCTGTTCTAATTATTAACTCATGTAATACAGAAACCCTGTGAGGCAAGTTTTATTATCCACATATATATATGTGAGGAAACTGAGGCACAGAGGATAAGTAACTTGCTCAGGATCACTCAGCTAATGTTACTATAACTGAGACTAAAACTTGGATGGTTAGACCCCAGAGCCCACACTTTTAATCAGTATAGGTTGCTTTACTATGTCTCTTTATATAATACAGTTGCTCTTTTAACCTTTAACTATTTACTTTTATAGCTGCTGCTGTTCTTAAAGGGTTTTTCAGAGTCGGAGAGGAACAAGCTGGCTATGTTGACTGGTGTTCTTCTGGCTAATGGAACACTTAATGCATCCATTCTTAATAGCCTTTATAATGAGAATTTGGTTAAAGAAGGTAATCAGCCTTTAGTAAAGAATTGTCTTTAGTTGTGTGAAGGTGAGGATACCAAAGAGCATGAAAGATGTACTGATATAAAAACTAGGATATAACTTACATAGATTTGATTTGTGTGATAGTCTTAGTTTTTTAACTATCTTTAAATTTAATAAAATAAAACTCATTAGATATTTAATATATACCTTTGGCTATCTTTACGTATATACCAGATGTGGTTATAACTTAAAAAGAGAAATGCCAGGGAAACCCAGAAAGATTAATTCCAGTTGGGAGACTTGGGAAAGTCAGAGAAAGTGACTTTAGGGAAAATGTCAAGCCAAAAAGAAAATAAGTTGCCTGATGTAATTTTCATAGTTAAATAATTCTGTTAAAATAAAAACAAAACTTTTTTAAAACTAGACTACTGAGTGCTTAATGTGCCCTATTTCCCACAACAGCCCTGTCAAGTGTAAGAACTGTTACACTCACTTTACACATTAGAAAGCAGTTTAATAACTAAAAGTACCTAACTAGCAAATGAGACAATAGAGAAATTGGAGTGAAATGGTAAGCAGCTTAGTGGCAGAGGGAAGTTTGGGGATAAAGGGAGTAAGTCTGTGGTTGAAATGGGGAGATAGAATGGTTGAAATCCACTTGTTTCTGCTAAGTAAGCTCTTTTGTTCTACAGGGGTTTCAGCAGCTTTTGCTGTAAAGCTCTTTAAATCATGGATAAATGAAAAAGACATCAATGCAGTAGCTGCAAGTCTTCGGAAAGTCAGCATGGATAACAGACTGATGGTTTGTAACTTTTTTCATTCTTCCCCTTCTTGCCAACACTTAAAGTGTAACAAGGGAACTTTCTCATTTCTAATCTGTGAAAAGAAGTGGTTTTTTATTAATACGATTTAAAGACCACTTGACCAGATTAAATTCTCCTTTCAGGAACTTTTTCCTGCCAATAAACAAAGTGTTGAACACTTCACGAAGTATTTTACTGAGGCAGGCTTGAAAGAACTTTCAGAATATGTTCGGAATCAACAAACCATAGGAGCTCGAAAGGAACTCCAGAAAGAACTTCAAGAACAGATGTCCCGTGGTGATCCATTTAAGGATGTAAGATATTTTTGTTTAAACCATCTTTACAAACTAACTAGAACTTAAATAAAATTTTGGAAAAAATAAGCCATCTCATGATTTTTTATTCACTTGAGAAGCTTTAAGGTATTTCACCAGAGTGAGTTTTAATTAGTGGCTGTTGAATTATGTGCTGGGGCTTTTCATTAGCCTTTTTCACATTTAATGCTTTACTAGTGCCCAGAAATTATAGGGCTTAGGGATTTTGTAGGGTTCAAGCAGTTTTCAATAGGTTTTATGTTTCCATCTCCATCCTTTTCCAGCTGGTTTGCCTGTGTGTAAATTAAGGCTTGGACTAGAGGTCCATCCCTTCCAGTTCTAAAAGTTCTCTGATTATATGTGGTACACGTGTGGTTCCATTGCCAGTTGTGTTTTTATGTTTTTGTAAAAGGTCTAAGATTGATGCGTAGAGTATACATATCAAAACTGATTTACTAAATTGGGATTCTTTTTGCAGATAATTTTGTATGTCAAGGAGGAGATGAAAAAAAACAACATCCCAGAACCTGTTGTCATTGGAATAGTCTGGTCCAGCGTAATGAGCACTGTGGAATGGAACAAAAAGGAGGAGCTTGTAGCGGAGCAAGCCATCAAGCACTTGAAGGTAAGTCTGACTTCACCTTTCTTTGGCTCACGGTTTAAAAACAAATACATGTTTAAAAATAGCATTGGCCTGAAATTTGTTGTTTGCTTTTGAGGGAGTATTGGAAAATATGAGCATTCCTTATTTATTCTCTAAAATATTAACATTGTATTGACAGTTGTCTGGAATCCCTGGTGCAGACAGTATAGCTTGGTTGGCTTAGTTGCTTAGAGAGCCTTCTGCTTAATTTGTTTCCATTACATAGAATATAATTTACAGTGATTTTGAAAGATCTGTTATGTTCTGTATTTTAGGAATTTTGAAATGGCTGGTCATTATAAGAAGTGACTACATTTTTTCTCTTTTCCCTTTAAAAGCAATACAGCCCTCTACTTGCTGCCTTTACTACTCAAGGTCAGTCTGAGCTGACTCTGTTACTGAAGATTCAGGAGTATTGCTATGACAACATTCATTTCATGAAAGCCTTCCAGAAAATAGTGGTGCTTTTTTATAAAGGTAATTTAAATTTTGGATTTTGTGAATACATTTAATAAAAATCCTAAAATACTCCTCTAATAATTTCAGTGAGTCTGAACATTAGCTCCATAAAATATTTTACTCTAATCATAGGACTGAATTGTCTCTAATTGAATTGGGTGCTTTTTAGTGTATTAATATCCAAAACATCTTTAAACCTTATTAATAAGTTAAAATCTAAAACTTTCTTGGTGTGGCCTCAAACTTTGTTTCCTGTTCTCTACCAGTTCTCTTCCCCAGACACACTCTTCACATCTCTGTAGTCTTTGGCCCAAGTTGACTTCCCTTCTTCACTCTACCCCATTAGCCATCTTGTCCTTCAAGATCAGTTCAAAATACTCTGGTAAAACCTTCTATTTCAGTTATTATTCCCTTTTCTGTGATCCCTATTTCAGAAAACTGATCTAAAGTGGTTAATAAAGATAAGGACTTTGTTGGGAGAGAGCCCATTGCAATATATGTAGATTACTATCGTTGTTAATAATGTTTGGGTGTTTTTAAACATCTGTTTTTGAGAGCATGCTCGTGAGTGGGCGAGAGGCAGAGATAGAGGAACAGAGGATCTGAAGTGGATTCTGTGCTGAAAGCAGTGAGCCAAATGCACAGCTTGAACTCAAAAACTGAGGTCATGACCTGAGCCAAAGTTGGACACTCAACAGACTGAACCACCCAGGCACCCCTGTTTTTTTGTTTTTTTGTTTTTTTTTTTTTTTAAGGGAGAGAGAGAGAGTGTGCACACGCATGCAAGCTGGGAGGATCCCAAGCAGGCTCCACGCTATCAGCTTAAGCTCAGAACCTATGAGATCATGACCTGAGCCGAAACCAAGAGTCAGATGCTTAACCTGCTGAGTTTAATGAATTATTGATCAAGTATCACTGATTACTTAATCACAAGGTTTCTCAACCTTGGTATTCCAGATATTTTGCGCCATTTAACTCTTGTTCGTAACAATCTTGTGCCTTATAGACTATTGAGTAGCATTTCTCCTCAGTGTAACAATCAAGAATGTCTCTAAACATTGTCAGATGTCCCAGCACGGGGATGGGGTGTGTAAAGTTGCCTTCAGTTGAGAAAGTCACTGGTTTAGTGAGTGTTTTTCCTAGCTGTAGGTTCCTATGTTGGCAAGAAGTTGACAAAACATTTCTTTATGTAGGTTTCTCATTTTATCTTTTCTATTTTTCTTTAAAAATTGAAGAAACCAGTTGAGTGTTCTGAATACAATTATTGTTTTTACTTGACTTCAGTAGGCTATTTTTTACCATGCACACATCTGTACCTTACGTGGCATCTGACTCTGCCTGAAAAACTCCCAGATGTAATGATAACTCTCTTTCTAGCTGAAGTCCTGAGTGAAGAGCCCATTCTGAAGTGGTATAAAGATGCTCATGTTGCAAAGGGGAAAAGTGTCTTCCTTGAGCAAATGAAAAAGTTTGTAGAGTGGCTCAAAAATGCCGAAGAAGGTAAGTCTTTTGCTTGGTGCAGTTTGTTTGGTAAGCCGGAGAACTAATTTTAATGTGGCCATTATATATGCCACCTTTTTTTATTCATATACCATTTTGTACCTTGAATACAGACTTTCATTCATTTCTGACAGATCTGCAAATACTCATTTACTTTAAGGCAGGTAGGGAGAGCTTGACTTTAAATATTGAAGTATTTTGATGGCGTGGCCATTAGACATTCTGAGGAGGAAAATTGAAAAGATTGAGACTATTTAATATTCATGAATTTTGAGATTTATAAATGAAGGCTTGTGAATATCCTCATAGTGGGGGATTATTAATAATATATCTTAATTATATTAAAAATCTTCAAAGTTATAAATGGGAACTTTTGTTTTCTTTTATTATATAATGCTTGACTGCATCTTTTCCCCTTTTCTAGAATCTGAGTCTGAAGCTGAAGAAGGTGACTGAATTTTGAAACTACACCCCTCAGTAAAGCAAACAGGAGTTGTAGATAAAATGTCATGTCTCATGTGTCCTGGTTCTTACATCTTCCTACCTCCCTATATCAAGCATGATATAAGGGCTTTCATGGCAAATTTTATTTTAAATGTTTCTGTGGTTACTGGAAATGTTGGGTTTAGTTTCTAAAACCATGTTTTAAGTAGCTACAGGAGCTATAGATTTGAATCTAATGTTGCATTAGTCTTTTCAGTTATCTTCTACCTCCTGTATTTTCTACTGTAATAATGTAATTTAAGGCCTTCCACAATGAACAGTTCACTTTATTCCCTGGGTTTTCTATATAAACAGTTTTCAAGATATGATTTGGTTAAAAATAATTTGTTATAAAAATTCTGTTTGCAAATTAAACTGTAAAAGTATCCAAAGTCTCAAAAGGCAATGATTTGTGTGATAATTTGGTATGCCCAAAGCCCTGCTCATCAATGAAAATCTCATATACAGTAATTGAATTCATTAACATGAATCTTGAGTATTTGGACCGTTGCTTGCATGTTGGTATTTTCTTGCATTTTTAACCCTGGATGTCCTTGAGCTCAATTGTTTGCTCTCTGGTTTTTATTCTTTAGTAAAGCCATGGAGAACAAGCTTGAAAGTGAGTTGTTTGGGAAATTGTGTATGACAGAGGTGGTGGGAAGAAGAAAGTTGAGCTTGTTCTCGTTAAAAACTTTTGCATTCAGTTTGTATCTTTCCAGGCAAAACCAATGGATATTCTTTTCATACAGCCATTTTCAAATGTACCTTAGAAAAATCTTGTCATTTAAAGTATTTTACGCTTGTCATGCACTTAGATTGAAAGGAAAGGGACTCATAAAATAATGTGAGTGCCTACCTGGCTCAGTTAGAAGAGAGCATGTGAATCTTAATCTCACCATGGATTCGAGCCTCACATTGGGTGCAGAGATTACTTTTTTAAAAAAATAAAAATAGTATGAGTAAAGAAAGTGACTATCAAATCCCAGGAAGTTGTTAAATATTAAGTGGTCAGCATGTTCTGAGACTCTAAAATGTAACTCATTTCCTCTTGCCTTAGAGTATTTGTTGTAAAGAATGAAGTGCAATGATGATACATTCCCACTTGATCATGTTGGATCAACTTCATTCTCTTGACATCCTTTTAAATAACTCAAGCATCTGGCTATTAACATACCCTAGTTTCCATCTTTTTAAATTGCCATGAGCCAAATATCTCTTATATACAATTGATCCATTTATTTCAATGGCTGCCTTTTAATTTCCATCTTTCTTTTCTTGCTGCTACCCATATATATATTATATATATGTTATATATATATATTATATATATATAAATATAATATATATATATATATATGTAGTCATTAGAAAACAAAAAAATGACCACCACTTTGGTGGAGAGACTTCATATTAATAAAGTGAACATTTTGAAAGGGTTTTTTTTTTGTTGGGAAAAGAAACCAACTTAGAATGATGCCACCAGACTGAATGGAATTTGCCCCTTTCAAAGGTGCCGTTCTTAGGAGCCAAGAATTCGGTGTTTAAAAGTTCATCTTGAGGGAATATGTGTAATATAATTTGAAGTAAAGGTGTAGTGACCTTATGAAGAACATAACTGATACCATTATGAATGGGGTGAAATTGTTAAAGGAATAACTTTGATAGTTTTAATGCACAGGCAAAATATTCACTAGGTTTCTACATAGTGATCTGCTTTTACTTTGTAATTTGTAGTCCTCAAAAGACTTTTTTTCAAAAATAATAAAGTCCATCCTTACACCTAGGTTATAGGTCAGTCTTCTTTAGTTTTTTGTTGTTTTTTTTTTGTGTGTGTGTATTCCGTGTTTATACCTAGGAATAGCTGTACGTTATGCGTTCAGACAACGTCTCTACTGTGCAAGCATTTAATAATCGTCCTTTTCATCCTATGATTCCCTAACTGTAACACCCACACAGAATTCCAGTGTAGCGGAAACTACATTAATATTTCTATAGCCAAACCATTGCATGTTACTGTCGTACAAAGTGTACCCTATTTTATTATATACTGTGTATAGTGAAAGAGTGTGTAGTCTTCCAGAACTACATTATGATCTTTGTCTGATCATAGTTTTTTTCTTCATAATGACAAAGTAGTATTTACTTACTACAATGTTATAGTAAATGGATAAGTCACCTGTGATAGTATAAAGAAAGGGAATGCTTCCTAAAGACTACAGATTTTCATTTTGAATTATAAGTGGAATTTTGGAACTTGGCTGCCAATGCCCACCTATGGCCTCAAATATTTACTGCTTAATCTAGATGTTAAAATTGTACTTGTAATTATAATTGGATAATGTTAGCTGATTTTCCTAACTTGGTGTCAGTTTCCAAGGATAAGTCGTCTTTTAAGTGCCATAATTAAATGTTTAGAGCTGATCCTAAGTTTCTTAATTATTCTGGGAGTATTATCCTAGAGATACTTGTTTGTTCTTACGAAAACTCCAAATACAAAAATGCCACAGGAAATTTTGACATAGCATAGTGATGGTGGGGAGAGGAAATGCGTGTGACTAAGAGATGTATCTGCGTTGTACATGACAAAGAATAAGGGTGATTGGGGGGGAGCCCTTCTCGGGTGGTATCACCCCTATTGTGACCTAGTGTATCTTTTTAAAGGGGAGGGGACCTAAAGATAAACATTTTCATTGGCAGATATATCTTTATGTGTATCCATATCCTGAGGCAGTATTTTAATCATTTCCCATTGGTTTTGAAGATTTTAACAGATTGTTGATTGTAACTGTATCGTAAGTAGAATCATTTGGAATTCTAATCTATAAAAATGAATTAAAATCCTGTGTAGCAGTTTATAATTAAAGTTGCTAGGCATAACGCTTAGATAATGGTATTGAAATTTTACTGATGAAACTACAGGAGATTCAGGAAATGACAACTGTTGGTTGGCTTTAAGTGTAACATGCCAAAATTTTAGTGTGTAGTATTACTTGGACTACTGAATGACCTTTGTAAAAATTTTCCTCAGATGCTATTTACAGGTGCCATGTAAAATAGGTAAAGCATTTGTGAGAGTTCTGGTAAATTGCCTTGCTATGATTTTTTTATGTAAAGTAGTAAGTAGTCCTTTAGTATTGATATAAAGTGTTTCTGTTTATCAGCTTACTGAGGCCTAAAGGTTTAAAATATAATTAAATAATAGGTTGTTCAGTGGGCTTTATTTAGGTGGACTCTAGTAGATGTGATAAGTACTTTTGACTTCAAAATAATGAATTTATAATTGGCTTCTGTTTAAAAACGAATTGCAGTGGATATGAGCAAAACCCAATCTTTTTTTTTTTTTTTAATGTTTTATTTTTATTTATTTTGAGAGAGAGGATCTCAAGCAGGCTCCACATTGTCCACGCATTGAGCCTGACGTGGGGCTCAATCTCACAAACCGTGAGATCATGACCTGACCTGAAAATGAAGAGTCAGCCTCTTGACCAACTGGGCCACCCAGGCACCCCTGACCTAAACCCAGTCTTACCCATACAGTTATACATTAACTACGAAACTTGGTGTGGATCAGAAAGGTTTCCCAACCCCCTTTCCTTCCCTACTTCCCCCCCCCCCCCCCCCCCCGTTTTAACTGGGCAATTAGCAGCCATATCAAATCCAACCTTTTTGATTTCCATGCATTTATATTTTTTTCTTTAGAATTATAGTCTCCTCTCTCCCAATAATTGAAAAAAGGATGAGGATACTTTACAGATGCACTCAGTCACTGTCAATTTAGTAACTTTTAAAAACCTTATATAAATTAAAAGCTCAACTGTTTGTAGTGCCCTAGAGGAAACACTAGTAAAAAATCTGCCAAGTCCTTTGTTTTGTAGACTGTCTAGAGGGACCAAGACCTTGTTCAAACTATGATCAGAATGTCCATGGTTGTATTAGTGCAGGCTTGGGAACTATGCATTAAGTGTATACAGTGAATTTGGGGTGTTACAAAGTTATCAGATACAGTTGAGCTGTTCCATTTCAGGAGTTTCTGGTCTGTGTGACCATTTTACAATACTGAAGGGAAAAAAGTTTAAACCTTTTTTTTTTTTTTCTTTTTTAGTTAAAATTTCGAAGGCTGTGCTTAAACACTTGACTTAGAGGTAAACCTATTGTGTGACCCATTACAGACTGCAGCCTCTATTACTTCAAAAATCTGTTTTGTGTTCTCTGGCATCTTAAGAATATTTTCTCTGTAAATACACCTCATTTCCATTCTAGTTAGGAGTAACGGACCCCGGCATGGCAAACAGTTGAAGAGCGGAGAAAACTGGATAGCTGATACTACAGATAGTTGTTGGACCACCTCCAGTCCAGCCATCCAAACCAGTAATTCCATTGCTGCATTATTTGTGTTAACTGTGAAATTGGCTTCTTGTCTGTACCCTTGAAGTTGAATAAAATTTCATGAGATTCCTTGTTAACTTAGAGAAGCAATGACTATTGTTGCATTGGTTGTTGTATGCTAATAACCTATAAGCACTGGAGTTGCTTCTGGCTCCAGTCCTTGTCCTAGTCCTTCCAGTTTTTCCCCTGGCGTTTTGAATACCATTGAAAGGCCTATTCCTCTTTTTTTTTGTCTGGACCACTTTGGCTGTTGTTTGGCTCACATGTACTTCAAACTTCTCCAAATGCTCAAAAACTGCAATCATTTCTCTTCATGAAATACTAGTGCCATCTACCCTCCCTGGAAAGTTTCAGCTCCCCTCCCTTCAGCCCTCACATCTGATGGGTCAAGTTCTGTCCATTTCAACTCCAACTCTAATTCATGCCACCAGTGTCTATTAACAGCCGGAGTAGTCTTTAAATTCAAGTAAAACTACTTAAGACCTTTCTGCTGGAGGGACCTGTGTGATTGATTTTTTAGCTAAGTCTTCCTTTTTCACTTATTCACACCCCCCCCCCTCAGTGCCCAGCATCCGATAGTACTTGTCAAGTAAGTAAGCATTAAATATTACGTAAGTGAAGAAATGAGAACAGGGATGACCGTGCTTCCTGGATCTAGTCAGAATACTGAAGTTGAGGATGTGAAAAACTAGAATGGATGTTTGCATGTACAATGAAAGGTGTTCTGTGATTTTGGAATATTTAGAAGCAACTTTGGTAGGGTTGAATCCAAGATACTTCTGTTCTATGGCAAGGATTGCTGTGACTGATGTGACCTGGCTGGACTAAGAACCTGTCAACAATTCGTAAATGTGTGTTGTCAGGTGCTCTGCTGAGCTTTAGCACTGTGGTAACAAACAGGACTAGATGCCAAAATTCAGGCCTACAGGAGGGAGCTAATCACAGGTGAGAGCAAAATCAAAGGCATGGTAGGTACTGGCAGGTTGGAGCATCTGGTTTCAGGGCTTACATAG